TTGCCACCCTTACTTAGTCCTACAATCCTGAATTTACTGCATTAGACCTACATGTAAGACTGCCTCATCCTTCATGTCTTTTCTCCTATAAAGCTCTTGGCATGTATTTCTGCTACCAAGATGTTGTAGAGAGAACTTGAGCTATGAGTTAATTATTATGAACAGAAATCAAAGCTGTTTTTTATAAATAAACACCTCCATTTGGAGTGAAAATATGCTCGGATATTTGTCAGCAGACATTATCTGTTCTGAGAAGTGAACAGTTTTCCAAGAGCGAAGCTCACGGAAAACTGTGAGCTTTGAGCTTTGAGCTTTGAAACTGTGAGCTTCAAGTATTTTTCACAACATGCATGGTTTTGACAATTGGGGAATATCACTCTGATACTCTCCAGTGTTAGCTGGGGCATATTTAGTCACATGATGCATTTAGACCAATCACATGCAAGTGAAAATATTTGATGGATTGTAATGCCTGATATGATGGGAAAATAAATTAAGTCAAATTTTAACTTTGTATTGTTGCAGTTCAAACCTTCTCAGCTCAGTAGAAGATGGGTTTGGAAAGAAGAGACGAACACATTGGAAGCAGTCAGGTATAGTAACAAAATTTCTCAAACACATTAATAAGGAAATCATGCCCGTGATGGTGTTTGGATATCTGAAATTAGCATTAGATTTTTACGATTTTTATTTCTCGGTTTTCTGCTTAGTTTAGTTTCAATTGAGAAGATATCTCCAACACTCGAGACAGTGTTTGACCATATTTTCAAACACCTCTGTCAAAGTTTGTAAAAGATACTCCACTGAGCTTCATATTTGAAACTCTCTTTTCAGTGTTGGAAAATGTGGTCAAAAAGGGTATTTCATGCTTAATATAATCATTATATAATACTTCTTATGTTGTTATGTAAATTCTCACCAGGATTTTAGATGAGAATTACATGAATGGTGTAAGAGAGGTCTGAATAAATGAAATATATTTCATGTTTAATGCTTTGCTGGCATTGTCAATTGCCATTAATTATTGCAAAGTGTACCAATGAGGTATAGTTTGAAATAGACTGTCAGCCAGTTGCCCTTTTGCTCTTAAATCGGTAGTGAAGTCAAGAACACAAAAACTGAGCATACGAACATGATACGTAGAGTTGCAGTTGTGTACAACTTGCAGCTCCCACCCTAATACCACTTGCCACTAAGACTTTCAAGAATGGTTATCGTGCTTGAGAGACCACACTCTCTCCTCCCTTTTTGCATTCTTCCGTAAAGATTATAAAGCAACTGTGAGACTGCTGATGCTTTAATTTCAAAAGAAGCCTCCATAGTACCTTATCATAAACCACCATATCTTTAGAGTGCATGTAGAGCAAGTGCAGGAAACAAAGAACAGTACATCACTTTGTACAGCATGAACCTGTGGTAAGAGCAAGTAAAAAGCTTCCAGGATTTGTGTTGCTTTGGTGGTTTCTTTCGTTTTCTAGAGTAGGCACATGTGTTTTCGAAGGAATGCTAATAATTTATTAATAATCTTGTTAAAATAGATATTTGTGTTATTTTATCAAGGTTGTGTTTTTCTCCATATTTTCTCAAATGTAGCACTGTTCCAGGCAGCTTTGACAAAGGTACCAACTTTCACCTTGCTGCAAACAAAGCAAAAAGAAGCAAAGGAGGCTTAGGAATCCATTTCCAGGATCTAAACAAGAAAAATGATAGGTACATCTAACATGGCAAAGAACTAATATTAATCAGTGTGACTCTGTTTGCCATCACTGACAGTGCACATTCTGGAGTGAGGCAGTATCCTACCAGGGCTTTCATTAATTTGATCTTCACACTAGTAACAAACTTGTTACTTTGTGGGTGAATTGTATCAACCACAATCAAGCTAACCAGTACCTGTAACATCAAGCACCCAT